AGTTCAGTGAATTAAGTGCTTGCTTAGGTAAGCACAGGGGCCAGGGTTCGATCCCTGACACTGCATGCTGCCCTGGCCCCGCCCCTGGGTGTGCTGAGTGAGCGATAGAGTCTGGGCATGCTGGCGCACACCTGTAATCCCAGTGCCAGTGAGGCACAAATCAGGAGGATCGCTATGAGTCCCAGCTGCATAGTGAGACCCAGCACAAAAAAAAAAAAAAAAAAAAGATTTAGCTGTTACAGACTGCTGCTATAAGCTTGGGTGTGCATGTATTTTTGCAGTATGATGCTTTAAAATCTTTCAGGAAGATACCAAGAAGGGGAATAGCTGGGTTGAATGGAACCTCAGGTCCTATTGTTTTGAGGAATCTCTGCACTGGTTTCTGTAATGTACAGTCTACACTCTCACCAGTCTACACCCTCACCAACAGGACAGATGAGATCCTTTTTCCCCACAGCTTCATCAGCATTTGTGTTTTTTGTTTTTTGTTTTTTTTTTAATTTATTTATTTTATTTGTGTGTGTGTGTGTGTGTGTGTGTGTGGCCAGCTCAGCCCACCAGGGGGCGGGGCTGGCTGGCATGTGGTGCTGGGGAATTGAACAGCGGTCCCTGTGCTTTGCTAAGCTTGTTCTAAGTAGGTGCTTTAGACCACTGAGCCATCTCACCAGCCCCCAGCATTTGTTACTGGTTGATTTCTTGATAATAACCATTTTTTCTGGGGTGAGATGGAATCTCAGCATTTTTTAAATTTGCATTTCTCGGACCAGTCAAATAGCTCAATGGATTAAAGCACCTGCTCAGACACAGGGACGGGGATTCAATCCACAGGCCTGCCATGCTGGCCCCGTCCCCAGGACACCCTGAGACAGTGATTGAGACTAGGCATGGTGGCACATGCCTGTAATCCCAGCACTTGAGAGGATGTAAACAGGAGGATCACTACGAGTCCTATCTACACATGGAGACCCTGTAGACCCTGTCCTAAAATACAAAAAAAAAATGCATTTATATTTGACATTTCTACCTCATCAGAGAAGTGTCTACTTCAGATGCCTGCTTTTGGACTGGGTCTTTAAATTGGAGGGGGAGTCTGATTTATTTCTCTTTATATATTCTAAATACTAGGCGTTTGTCAAAGGAATGGATGGCATATTTTTTTTCCCACACTGGAGTGTTTCTTCACGCTTGTTAGTGGTACCAGGGCTCAAACTTGAAACTTTGCGCTTGCCAGGCAGGCACTTATACAGCTAAGCTATATCCCCGGCTCTGCAAAAGCTTTTTAATAAGATGAGATCCAGGCTGGGGATATAGCTCAGTGACATAGCACCTGTCTGAGAAGATCAAGATCCTAACTTTGATTGCTGGTACCAAAAGGAACAAGGAAAAAAAAAAAAATAAGATCCGAGTTGTTGATTCTTTGTGGTAGTTCCTGTGCAATCAGGGTTTTTATTCATAAAACCTTCTTGCCTATAACAGTATCGTCAAGATTTCTACCTATTCTATCTTCCAATAGATTTAGAGTGTCTGTTTTAATATTTAGATCTTTGATCCATTTCAATTTTAGTTTAGTGTATGGTGAAAGATACCGGTCTAGTTTTAATCTTTGGCTTATAGAAAGTCGGTTTTCCAGCCCCATTCAGTAAAAAAGTTATCTTTCTTCCAATTAACATGTTTGGCTCCTTTGTCAAAGATAGGATGGTTGAGTACTTTGAAGTTGTTTCTGCATCTTCTCCTATGTTCCATTAATCTTCAGGTCTGTTTTTGTTGTTTTTTTATTCCCGCCAGTACCATACTATTTTTTTTCCTATCACAGTAGCTTTGTAATACAATTTCAAGTCAGGGATTATGATATATGTGCCTTGCCTTTGTGGCCTAGAATTGCTTTTGCTATTTGAGGTCTCTCTTCTGGTTCCAAATAAATTTTCTCAAATTCTGTGACATATGCTAGTGGTGTTTTGATTGGGATTTCATTAAATCTGTACAATAATTTTGAAAGTATGGCCATTTTCACTATATTGGCTCTTATGCAAGAACAAGGGATAGTTCCCCCCCCCCTTTTTTTTGTATATTTTAGGGAAAGGGTCTACAGGGTGTTCAGAGTCTCACTACTAGATCAGACTTGTAGTGATCGCCTGTTTACAACCTCCCAAGAGCTGGGATTACAGGCGCACGCCACCACGCCCAATCTCAATCGCTGTCTCAGTGCAACCCAGGGGCGGGGCCGGCGCGGCAGGCCCGGGAATCAAACCCCCAGCCCCTGCACCTGCTTGCAGGTACTTTAATCTGCTGAGCTATTTGGCCAACCCTAGCTTGCCATTTTTTGATAGCCTTTTTGCTCTCCTTTTTTATTGTATTGTAGTTTTCAACATACAGGTCTTTTGCTTCTTTGTTAGATTGATTCCTAGATATTTCTTTTCTTTTTGATGCTATAATGAAAGGTGTTATTTCCCTAATTTTACTCTCACTTTGTGTACAGAAATGCTATAGATTTTGAATATGGACTTTATATCCAGCTAGGCAACTGAATTTGTTTATTAAATTTATTAGTCTTGGACCAGCGAGATAGCTCAATAGTCTAAAGCACCTGCTTAGGCAAGCTTAGGCAAAGCACAGAGAACCAAGGTTCAATCCCCAGCACCTGTGCTGTGTCAGCCCTGCCCCCAGGGCAGACTGAGCCAGCCACAAAATAAAGTCTTTTGGTAGAGTTTTTGGGATCTACTATGCAGAGTATCAAGTCATATGTAAATAATGACAATTTAACTTCTTCCTTTCATATCCTTATTTTTTTTTTTTTTAATGTCTCTTGTCTAATTGCTCTGGCAAATGTTTCCAGAACTATATTGAGTAAGAGTGGTAATAGTGGACATCCTTGTCTTGTTCCTGATTTTAAATAGAAAGCTTTCAATTTTTGTCCATTTAGTATGATGTTAACTGTTGGTTTGTTATAAGTGGCTTTATCACATTGAAATAAAGACATCTATTCCAATGTTCTGTAGGATTTTTACCATAAATACATATTGGACTTTGTCAAATGTTGTTCTGCATATATTAAGATGATTATATGGTTTGTTCTTAGCTTTGTTAATATGGCATATTACATTTGTTGATTTGCATGTTGAACCATCCTTGCATTCCTGGAATGCATCCTACTTGATAATTTACTGCATTCTGTTTGCCAGTGTCTTGCTAAAGGTTGGCCTGTAGTTCTCTTTTTTGTTTTGTTATTTTTATTTGTTTTATTTTTATTTTAAAGAGTAAAAAACAAACAGTAACATACAACAATACGTATGGTACAGAATTTCAAAGCAAGAATAAAAAATTAATGATGGTTTTGCATTTTTTGTCAAATCTGTTTTGTTTGTTTGTTTTTGTTTTTTATGTATTTAGTACAGGGTCTCACTACACAGCACAGACTCATAGTGAACCTCGTGTTTTCAACCTCCCCAGTGCTAGGATTACAGGTGTGTGCCACCACTCCCAGTCTTGTTGGCTGGTTCAGCACAGGGTGCAGCATGTGGTACCAAGTATCGAACCCCAGTCCCTGGGCTATCTAAGCAGGCATTTAGTCCCTTAGCCTGCTGAGCTATCTCACTGGCCCATTATTGTCAAATCTGTTGCTCAGATTAACAAATATAGGTATGAAAATTGGTCAAATAATTAAACATTGTAATTTTCTTTTTTGGTTGAATCTTTCTCTGCTTATTTAGTAGGGTGATGTTTGGTTCCAGAAATAGATTTGGGAGTGTTGTTTCCTTTTCAACTTTATTAAAGAATTTAAAGGGCCAAGGATATAGTTCAGTGGTACAAGCACCTGCCTGGCAAGCGCAAGGTCCTGAGTTTGATTCCCAGTACCCAAAAAAAAAAAAAAGTTTGCAAAGTGGGAGCATTAGTAGCAACATTTCTTGTAGGATTTAACAGTGAGTCTGTCAAGGCTTGGACTTTTGCTTGTTCATAGATTTTTTATTACAAATTTGATTTATTTGATTGATACTGAGTTAATTAGAATTTTAATATCTTCTTGATTCGGTTTTGGTAGTTCAAATGTATCTAGGAATTTATCCATTGTTTACTATCCTATTAGAATTCAGGTTCTTGAAGTAGATATTGATGAGTGTATGAATTCTGAAGGATCTGTTGTGATTTCACCCTTTTCATTCCTAATTACACAAATTTGAGTCTTTATTTTTTGATAAATTTGGCTATGGGTTTGTCCATTTTATTTAATTTTATAAAAAACCAACCTGATTCATTGATTCTTTGTATTTTTTGTCTCACATTTACTGTCTAATTTCATCTTGACCTATTTGGAGTTTTGTATGTCTTACTACATCAAATTGTTTTTCCCTGCTTGGGAAGTTTTTTGCCCACTCTTTGCGAACAGGTTTTGTTGTTTTTTTTTTGTTTGTTTGTTTTGTTTTTTTGTCATTTGTACTATCTACTGCTTTTTCATTGATTATAGTCGATCTTAAATTATTCTTCTTTGTGTTATCTAACAGCTGTTGGATTTTTTTCATGGTGCTTTACTATTTTAAGAAATCTTCCTTTTCATGATCACTGTGATCCTGCCTTCTGTAGTTGATATTCTGTCTCCACATTGACTCACTCTGCTGTGTATACTTTTAATGGGATTTTAATCACCTGGATATCTTGTGAATATGTTTCATGGAGTCTATTGTTTCTTATGTTGGGCATTTAGTTTCCATCATTTTCCTAAGCTCCTCTATTTTTTTAAATCAGATTTTTGGAGTACATTTTAGATACACATAATGATTATATTCATCATAGAGAATTTATACCTATATATGGTATAACTTCATTTTTTCCCTTTCCTCTCCCTTTCAATACTTTCTCCCCTCTCCATTTAAAAGCTTATTTTCACTTTTTCCTTCTTTTTTCTTTTTCTTTTTTACTTTTGTTTCCTTTCTCCCTCTACCCTCCTATTTTCTGTTCCTCATTTGAACATTTTCTTCCTATTTCACAATACCTATTCAGTTTCTCACAAAAATATGGAGCATTTCATGAGTTTGCATGTCCTCCCTGCACAGGGACCATGCTAATCTTCTCTATATTGTTCTAGTTTTTTAGTATATGTGCTGCTGAAGCAAGCACTCCTCCATTTCTTTTTATCTGTATCTGCTCTAGAGTCACTAACCATGTCTTTCTTTATGATCACCAGCTCTGTACTTATCTGAGAAATTATTTCTGATTTGATTTTTTTCTAGAGCCACACTCACCTGCTTTGTTACTTTCACTGTTACCACTTCAGAAGTCCAGGTGGGTGACATTTTGAATTGTTCCACCTCATTGTTCCTTAGGTTTGCCTTTCATGACTTGGAAGTGTGCTGTTACATCTTGCTTACAAATCTTCTCTTTTTTTTTTTTTTTTTTTTTTTAAGTTTAATTCCTAGTTTGATGCTTATAAAGGCTTATGGTAAGGAGCTTTATTGCTAGTATTTAGAACCCTGAGGAAATGACTGCTGCTTCAAGGTATCTTCTAGGTATAGCTGGCTTTTGCATTTTGAGTCTATTGCAAGATCCTACATCTTCACTTTGTTGGGGATGAGAAGTTGCTGCCTGTTTGGCCTAACTTTGGCTCTTTGGCTCTATCCTACAGTATTATTTATAAACTTTGATAATTGCAGTCTTGGCATACTAGGAAAAACAAATGATTAAAACAATTGCGTCACGTTGGCCAGAGTTTTACAGTCAGCAATAACAATGTTGTCAAACAGCCTAAAGATGATACAGTAGTAATTACTAATTTATTACCTTTAACTGTATGAACTAGATTTGTGGTTATATAATATCTAAAATGAACCAGAAAATATATGGTAATTTTGCCCTTGGGAGAAAATTTCAAAGGGATTAGGGGGAAAAATAAGAGAAATGGAAAACAAGGTGAAGATTAGAAGCAAGGCTGGAGGACGAAGGAAGATTACACAAACTTTCGGACCCTGGTGAAAAAGGCAGGAGAGGAAAGAGAAGAAAGAAATAAAAACAAGAACAGAACAACAAAAACTAGAAACAATGTTTGCACTCATAAAAATAAGAACAAAAAAAGAGAGGGAAAAAGAAGAAAATAAGAAAATGTCCACTTCAGGGTGTGTCTGCTGTCACTAGTAGACCAAGTTGGGACTGATTTGTTGAGGCTGCAACGCCTCCTGCTGGCTTGAACTTGATTCCTTGACCTCCTATCTTCTTTTTTAATCTTTTATTTATTTTTTATTCATTTTAATGAGAAAAAAAGATAAGATAGCAATGGAACAGTTTCAAAACAGGTTAGTAGGACTGTTACAATAATACATTGCATATTGTTGTCTTTGTAGTATTCAGAGGGCAAGATGCAGACATGATAGCTTGTCTAAACACAATTAGTACAAACATTTTATTCTCAGTGAGCTAAGGGAAAGTAGCTCTATATCTATCCTGACTCTCTTGTGTATACATACATATGTTTTTCCCTCCTTTTTTTCACAACAAAACAGTCCTTTATTTACACTTTTGTGAAGTTAGTAACACATGATACTAGGTTGCCTAGCAACTAATAGCTAACCTTAACCAGACAGGATGTTCATCTCAGGAGTGAGGTAGCTTGTTCACTTTAGGCACTGGGCCAAGTCCCACTTACACATATTTGATCAATTTCCTAGCTTCGTGGCTCCCCAACATATTCCCCCTTTTTTATTTTGTTTTGTCAGAGATGAGTGTTCCACTGCAGTTAGAGAAGCTGTAATTGGAGAAGTCTTTAAAAGACCTTTTCATACCTGAATCCAGTCTACAAGGTGCTGCACATGGTTTTAGAGTAAATCCTGAGGGGATTTGACTGATCTTGTCAGATACAAAAGTTCCATTTTTAGTTATATAGGTCTTGCTTTGACTTGGTCTTAACCATCCAGCAAAAAAGTGTAACCACAAGGTATGAAAAGTAATGCCATATTAATATGCTGAGCTGTAAAAGGCTCAACTCAACAACTTCTGACAATTGCTAGCTCTGCTGATAACCCACTACTATTATGGACTATTGAACTATATTGGGTTACTTTGCTGAATTCAAGTACCTACAATTTTTAGACTACCTCCTGCCTTCTTGAACTCTGACCCCACCTTACCCTGACACTAGGAGCTGATAGACTGAGCCAGTCTGCAGCTGCTGTCAGTTCCAAGTTCAGTTGTCCCCTCTCCATGGTAGCTACCAGTCAATTGCCCTCTATAGGTGATGTCTGAGCCCAAATAACTCACCAAGCACTGCAGTCCACTGCCTCCACTATTCCATTCCACTGTGTGTTTCTCCATGGAGGCCTCAGAGGTCATCACTAGTCACCATGTGCCTACAGGTTCAGGCTGCCCCTCCCACACAGTGAGTCCAGGTTCAGGGAGAAAGTGCCGCCTGCCTCCTCTTTCTTTGTTGAAGTCTGTCTCTTCTCTCTCCTGTGCTTCAATTTTTACTTCAGATCATTGCCTGGGCCACAGGGAATTATTTCCTTCTTTTACTTTTTCACATTGCTATATTCTAGTATCTGGACTCCAAATCTCATGAAGGCGGTTTCTCTGCTGCTCACCACTCCAGCATCTTCCGCCATTTGAACTCCTAAAAAGTAAACATGAGTTAATATTTGATTTTTCAGTATTCATAGCTGAAAAATTTTAAGTGACATTCTAAGTTTGACATTAATGAAACTTCTCTGATTTTATCTGTAACAAGAAATAAAAGCTTTTGCTCTGACCTTATGTTTTCCTTATTTCTCCCTGTTGCCATTTATTTTGGAGGAATCACAACTGAAATATTACCAGAATAATAGCAGGTGATTGATGTATAATTTTTTTTTTAACAATGACCATTTACAGTTCTGTGTGGGTTGGGTCTTTTTGTACCTGAACACTCATTTGCCTATCATTTTCAAGCTGCAGATATATTCCACCTCTCTAGTTAAAATTAGCAGAGGAATTGTTAGATTCAGATTATAATTGCTCTTTCTCTTCACTTTCCCAGCCTCTTCAGTACTTTGACAAGCTTCACTCCTCCTGCAAGCAGTGTTTTCACTGTGTGCCTTTTATGTGCTGTTGACAGGCTCATTCCATGTTCTGCTGGCCTCCTACTCAGTGAACCACCCCGCCTCACCCCACCTTGGTACAGGGAAGGGGGAAAGAGCTGGCAGAGTCACTCTGCTTTTCACATTTACTGTGGGAACAGCCCTTGGTCGACCCTGTCTTTTCTCCTTGGATCTCTTTCCTGTAGAGCCAAGTTACCCATAAATGGTTCTCAGTGCAATGATTATGGGCTCAAGATTCAAATAGGCAGGTTTTCCTACAAGTATGGATAACAGAAAGAGAGAAAATACTATGTTTTCCACTGAAATGCCACTTTATCATTATTTATTAGACAAATAAATACAACAATGAATCAGTGAAAAAGAAAAGTGATTCTCAATTCTGCCTTTTCAGTTGACATTTTTAGTTTTTGTGTTGCCTTCTAGATCTGGTGTATCTGCTTTGCATTGTCTGTTTTGTTGTAGAGTGGCTATGTTCTGAACTCTCAGGGATTTTTGTTTTTTGTTTTTCATTTATATATTTGGTACAGGGTCTCACTACGAAACTCAGACTCATAGTGATCCTCCTGTATTCCGCCTCCCCAGAGCTGGGATTACAGGCTTGGGCCACCATGCCCAGACTCTTTCACTGGCTCAGCACATCCTGGGAGCAGGACTGGTGCTGCATGTGGGACTATGAGGTTGTCAAAGCAGGAGCTTAGTCTGCTGAGCTATCTCACTGGCCCAGGGTTTGTTTGTTTGTTTTTTTTAATTCAACCATTTTTCCAATTTGTTAGTTTCTATAGTGATAACCAGATGAGCTTATTTTTTCAATAAGTGACTCATTTACATGGTCTGAAATTCAAAAATGAAAAGGAGAAGACAGTGGGAAATGAGCCTCACTCCCATCTCAGCCTGTCAGTGCCCTTCCCTTATTTCTTTTAACAAAACAGCCTTTTCTTCTTCTTGTTCCTCCCCCTCCTCCTCTTTTTCCTCCTCTTTCTCTTCCTCCTCCTCCTCTTCTTCCTCCTCCTCTACTTCCTTCTCCTCCTTCTCTTTTTTTTTATTTTTTTAATTAGTTTATTTTTTACCTTCTCTTCTTCTTCATCATCATTTTGTTATCAGTTTATAGAGCAATGTGTTGGTTTCCCATCCAACTACTATGCAAACCAGCTTTGCTCAGCTTCTGAGATCAGATAAGATTAGACACATTCAAGGTGGTATAATTGGGAAAAAAAAAAAGAAAAGAAAAGAAAAATGTATTGGCTTCCTGGAATCCTCCAAAGAAGACCAGTGAAATTGGGCATGGTGGCACACAACTGAAATCCCAATACTGGGCAGGCTGAGGCAGGAGGATCCCGAATTCTAGGCCAGCCTAGAGTATGTAGAGAATTTAAAGCTAACATATATTACATAGTGACACCCTGTCTCCAAAAAAAAAAAACCAATGAAAGTTTGAGTTATTTTTCCAAGTAAAGTGCATTTTATTATTTTTAAAACTTGAGAGTTTAGTTTTAAATTAGGCATCAACACCTCTCATCATTGTGACATCTATCACTATGTCAAACTAGCTTCAACTAGTAATATTTAATTAAATACAAAAGAAAAAGCTTTTAATTTTGAGGAAGAAAAATCTGGTTCTAAGAACAGTGAACAGTAGTCTATAATTTAAAACAAAATGAAGGCTAGTGTTCATGTTTCTTTATATACCTTTCTCCTCAAACAGAACCAGGAATGTACATTTTCTAACTCAGGCAGACCCTACCATTGACTGACAACACACACACACACACACACACGCATACTCCTCTCTCTCTCTCCCTAAACAGCGCACACACACACACACACCCCTCTCTCCCTAAACAGCAAAACTCGGAGCATGTCAAAGGGACAGTGAGATTTTTGCATGGATTTTAATATATTGGATGTGCTTCAGTCTATAGTAGCTCTTTGTTTTGATGCTTGAATTGGCCCATCTTTGGGCAGTGGGAACATTTCTGTATTTCTTTGAGTCCTTTTCTAAAGTCTCCAGGTATTTTTAATTTTTTGCTGTTGTTGTTTTTGTTTTTTGTTTCTGGTGTG